TATTTCCTTGGGATTGTTCTTGCCTCTGTTTCAGTTATTGAGTTCCTTGTTTTCTTGTATTAAATTCTTATTGTTAGCTTTCAACTGTACAACTTATCTTATTCTGTCATACCTTATATTTTTATTTTATCTCAGTAGAGCCCGAACCTTCCCCATCACTACCCGATCGAAGTTAGGCTTGGCACTTACTAAGTACCGCTGTGGTGTGCTCATGCCCTTTCTGCGCATGTATTTTCATATGCAAATCCAGGTACTTCGACCCAGTCCTATCACCCTTGAGGCGAGACGACTACTCCAGAGACTTCGAGGTATATCTGTCGCGTCCGCAGACCGAGGAGTCCCTTTTCATTCTATCTTGTAGTGATGACCCTTCTATCTTTTCTGTTGATGTAGACATTCCGGAGTTAGAGCATTTTTATTATATTCGTAGCTTGTGATCCATGGGTTTCCGGGTTTTGGGAAAATGTATTAGTTTTTGAGAGTTAATATTGTGTATGCCGAGCGGCACTTTTAAACGCTGTTTTATTACTCTATTTCTGCTTTAAATTATTTTCTTCCGCAAATTGGTTTATCTTCCACATTATAGGCTTACCTAGTCGTAGAGACTAGGTGCCGTCATGATGGTTCACGGAGGGCGAACCGAGGTCGTGACAAGTTGTTGATTTAAATTATATACGGTGGGATCGGGTTGCATGCCGCAATAGGAGGAATAAGGGTGATATATTAAGGAGAAAAAAGAGTGAATTGATATTATAAGGTACGATCGGGTTGCACACCGCAACAGGAGGAATAAGGGTGATATATTGAGGAGGAATAAGGGTGAATTAATAGTATATGGTGGGTCGGGTTGCGTGCTGCAACATATTATGTTTATTGTTATGATATTGATATTGTACGGTGGGATCGGGTTGCACGCCGCAACAGGAGGAATAAGGGTGATATATTGAGGAGGAATAAGGGTGAATTGATATTATATGGTGGGATCGGGTTGCGCGCCGCAACATATCTTGTATTTTGGTATCCCCTGTTTTACTGTATTGACTTTAGTTCCTTTGTGCAAAACTTTGATAATTTTTATTTTTAGTTTTCACTGAGTTTTGAGGATCGAGTTATTGTCATTGACTTATTGACTTACCGTCATTTCCTGAGTTATTTTCCTAATAGAATTATTCTGGTGAATTAATTTTCAAAGTAAATTTACTACGGTGAGTCATTTCCTCCTGCATGCTGATTCGTTCGTAATATCGTGATTTTAAATGAAGGAATTAATATCATGCTTCCTTGTGTGCCTTTGAGTTAGAACTCGTCGTATATTTTAGTATTTGCTATTTCTAATAATAATTATTTTATTTCAATTGCTTCCCCGGACTAATCTTCTTCACTTGCCTAAGGATTTTTTCTATTTTATTTAAAAAGGAATGTTATTATGTTTTAGCTTAATAAAAATTAAATGCAAGAGCTATTCGATTTTGAATTTTATTCGAAAATGTTATTTTCTTCACTCAAATGATTTCAAAAAAAAAAAAAAATAA